TTAATTGATTCTGGTAATTGAACAAAGAATTTGGTGGATTATGGATTAACTTGGAACCTAGTTTAAACATCTAAGTACCATAGGAATGGAAGTCAGATCAACAGAAACACACCGGAGGTCAAAGAGATGAAGAACAGAGAAGAGACGGCTCTTTGGAACAAAGAGCAGGCTCTTGGAAACCAAAGAGCCGGCTCCAAGACTGGGAGAGCCGGCTCCAAGCAAGAAAGAGCAGGCTCTTTCTTTGCAAGAGCAGGCTCTTTCAACCGACTTCCAGTTTTTGGTTTTTCTGCGACCTGTTTGGCTACGGAACTCGGATTTTGGGATTTTCAGAATCTGTAGGGAGCTATACTTGAGTGTTTTGAGTTGTTCTAAGTCTAGTTAACACTTGTGAGAATGGGTTAATGCATAATAAAGCAGTAGATGTTCATAGCTTGAACAGTGGTTAAGTCTGGAATAAACTGTTACTAATTCAGTTGGGAAGTATTTTAAATCTATTGAGCCTTGGTTTAAATCATTCTCTGTAAATGAAGTTTGATTAATTTGGGATTATTAATAGTCACATGGAATCAGTAGGTTGAACAGTATATAATTATAAGTATATATGTGGACTGTTCTTGGAGATAGAGGATTTAAATTGCATAACTTTTTGTGTAAGGAATTATTGTTTAATCATGTTTTCATGGTATAATATAAGCATGTTAGATTACAGAATGAGTATATGCTTATAATGGATGGATTTACTGATACATATGTTAAATGTATTAGCAAAGCTTAGATAATTGTGTAGTAGTGTAAAGTAAGCATGTTCAATTAAATATTTTGACTCTGCTTGTTATGAATTAGTTGTTGTTTACACTCTTGATCTGTATTATCAACTTCTAGACGGATGGATTATATGCACCGGTATGGGACGGTGACATACTAGGAATGGTTTAGTTTCAAAATACGAAATCGGACCTGTAAATAAATCCTACTTATATTTATGCTAAGTCAAAGAAGCTGCATAAGCTGAATGACTAGCTGGATTACTTGTTATCTATGTTGAGTCAAAGAAGCTGCATAAGCTGAATGGCCAACTGGATTTCTTATGAATGGATATGATATGACTTTAAATATATTTTTATGGTACCGCGATATGAGTTTGAGTCTCAGAGTCGACGGTTAGGGAGCGTATATACAATAGGACGCGTAGCTGGCTATGCTGGTTGAGATATACCCTGTTAGGCTTAGGTAGTTATGCCCACTCATGTGCGTTTTACATGTTACCTTCTATTCAGGTTGAGACCCGTATCATAGTCCAGTGAGAGTCCATAATGTGGATATATATGTATATATGTATAGACACGGATTACATAGTTATTGTTGAATTGGTTAGAGTGTATATGCGTATCGAGTCTCTGCTTGGATTGTAGTAGGATAGAACTTGTTTGTGGGCCTGACCCACTCCTATTTTTCAGGTGTACGTTTGTTCCAGGCTTGAGCTTGTGCGTGCTGAGCAGAGGCGACCACTCATTCTTCTGACGACGTAGGAGCTCTATTCATATGGGTTTCTTTTAGTTTTTTTTTTCAGCTCAGTTTGGTTTTCTTATTAAGGGTCCACAGGATGGATTCCCGAGTTGTACCCTTGGAGGTTTTGGAGTTGGATTATTATTATCTGGGATTTTAAGTATTTAGTTTTAAAGGATTTTTATATTTTAGATTTCTTTCAGCTTAAACTATTATTTCTTAAATTCAACTTGTATTCTGTGTTCGTTTTAAAATATTAATTGTTTGATATTTCCCTCGGGTTTGGGCCTGGGCTTGATCAACCCGTGTCTCGGATGCGAGGGGTATCACACCATACCCGACCCGTTCTTAATAGTACGGATCATACCAAGCTCGGGTCACTTTGGTGTCCTCAGATATGAATATTTAAGTGTAGCATTTTAATATAATTATGTGATTAGACTTAAAATTAAGATTGTATAAAAATATCTAAAATTCCGAACAAGTTGTTAATGCAATAATTGCGTCTTCCTGACAGAGTGCTAATTCAAAGGCTTCGGTTAAACTATCAGATGAAACAAACAAAACACCTGCTTTTATATCTGCCTGAAGTACAGAGAGAAATATACTAACTTGATGCGACTCAAGTAAACCTGGAATCATATTAGCAAGTCACTCAAATTCAGTATTAAATTGGCGAATAGTGCCAGTATGAGACAGTTTAGCTAATGAACTACATGGATCAATGTGTTGTCGAGACCCAAAGCAAATATATGTTGCACGGGAAAATTGCTGCCAAGTTAGAATACCCAAAGACTGTTTAATCCAACGTTACCAAGAAATAGTATCTCCTTAAAGATGCACTGAAGCCAATGGAATCATTTACGCCTCTAAAACACCATTGAGTTCTTGAAATTGTTCAGCTTGAAACAACCACCCTTTAGGATTTACTACCGTCGAATTTTGGAAAATCGATTTGGAGGTCCGACCTTGAATAATTGGACTAACTCACCGATCATTGTTGCCATCACGCTGAAGTAGTCGATCAAGGTTGTTGCCATGTAGGGGTATTTGATCATCACGTTGGGGACCAATAGGAACAAGTTGTGCTGCTTGTCTATCTGTTAGAGCTTGCAAAACTGCATGAATTTATTGAAAACTAGCTTAATTGTCACGTATCATCATGTCAACCTAGTAGTAAGGGCAACAACTTATTATTCAAGTTCTTTGACCTTCTTATTGAGAATACTACTAGAATCGAAGATAATGAAGATGAATAATCGAGAAAAAAATGGGCAGTCTCAAATCGAATGCTCTGATACCAGATGTTAAGGTTCTAGACTCTAAATTGATCTTTTGATTGGAGGTCAACCACCAATAATCATTTGAATTGCAAATTATTCACCAAAAATTTTAACATTTCATTCATAACCCTAATTTTATTACATTAGCATCTTTATATAGGAAAAATAAGAAATTAATAGACTGGAGTAACGCATTTGAATACCTCCCTCTTCCAACCTTTAAATATCTATGTCTTTTTCCTCTTCAATCATCATATTTTGAGTTGATAATTCCAGTTATTCAATTTTTTTCTTCTAAATTACCATTGAGAATTAATATTTGCACTCTATTATTTTTATTTACATTTCACTTCAATTTTTTAATTAGAGAAATAATTATTTCTATGACATTTAGAAGCTGAACGTTCCCGATCATGTGAACAAGGAGCATTCGGCTCCTCATTTATTTTCCAAGCGCATGTTTCAATTCTTTTATCTTGTAATAGTGATATTGCGTGAATGTTTTTTACTGAAAGATAATTATAGTATGAAAAATTATATATGATGTGACAGACAACTATAGCAACACTCACAATCTCGGGTAGAGGTGCACATGGTTCCAGTTCTCACGGTTCCAGTCGGAACCGGAACCGAAAACGTTCACGACGGTTTCTTGAAAACGGAAACGGAACCGAAACCGGACCCGTATAGTATGGAACCGAACTGGAACCGGACAGGTTCAACCGGAACCGGAACCGTAGAACCGGTCCGGTTCCGGTTAGGTTCTATGAGAACCGTTAAATGTTTGATTTTTTTTTTTCCTTTTTGCAGTATTATAAGTTGTAATACTGAAATGTTGCCCGAATATAACACTGAAATGTTGTAAGTTGTAACTTGTAACTACTGAGTGTTTCATAAAATTAAACACTGATATTAGCCAGCCACTCACGGTAAGCTTAATGTTTACAAGCAGGTTTGGATTTATGAGGATGATGATGATGATTCAAATATGTATGTTCACCATGATATCATCATTCCAGAATTTCCCCTATGCACAGCATGGCTTGATTGCCCACTTAAAGGGTGGAGAAAAAGGTTTGACTTAACCAGATTTTTTGGTTGAAAACTATTTCTGTGCAAGCACATATACTTAATTTCACCTTTCCTTCCTTAAGGGCATGGCGAATATGAGACTAATGAGAGATGCATATCCACTTTCTTTCAAGACAAGGCTCAACCTTTGGCCTTTTGTGTTTGTTTTATGCTTTTTGTTGCCTTTTCTACCGAAAGTTTAGATGATTTTTAAATGTGATGTGGTTCTATCATCTACAATAAAAAAAAAAAAAAAACATATTCTTATTTTTAGAGATAAAGAAGCTATTATTAATGTATTGCTGAATGGTGATTACAATTGGAACATAAACTAGGTTACAATTGGAACATAAACTACGTATTTAAGTCTCTGAAAGGCTAAGATATAGCATAGTTATTTTGATTTTGGAAGTTCAACTAAATCAAATGTTAATTTTCTATGACTTCATTATTATTCGGTCCATGGAAGGGGAGGTCGTCACTTAAGGAGACACCTTGCTCAGAAATTTGACCTCCAGCCCTATCTTTACTTCTTTTTTTTAGTATAAAATTAAATATATTATACATATATTATATATATATATATATATATATATATAGATACGGTTCAGGTTCTTACTAATTCTCACGGGCTGGAATCGGAACCGGAACCGTATGTATACGGTTCCTAAATTTGGAACTGGGACCGGAACCAGAGCTGTAAGAACCGAAAAAAACGGTTCCGGTTCTTATGGTTCCGGTTCCGATTTCACGATTTCAGTTCTTTTGTGCACTCCTAATATCAAGTAAAGCTGACCTATGTAATAGACAGTTATCCCAACACCCACAATCTCTTATAAAGCTGACCTACAATCAGATCAGTAGGAAATAACAATGCTTTTATATTATTTCAAAATTTGAAGGAAAAAAAGAGAGGTAAGCCAAGTACAATCTAACAGAAAAGTGAAACGTGATGCTATTGTCCTAATGCAAAAACAGCCGATTAAAAAGCAAAGGTCATGCTTCTAATCCTCCAAGCTACCAACAAATGAATTATGCCATTTGATCCTTTTAACAATCAAATAATAATAATAAAAAAATATGTCATGACCACACCGTTTCATAAATTGTATCGTTAAGCCAAGAAAATCCCTTCAATTTCACACCTGGTAGCCCCTTCCCAGCTTCGGCTTTGACCTCCAATAAGTACCAAATTTTAATCTTAAAAAAAGTAACCCTAAACCTCGGTTAATCCTCCCCATAATTTTGTTCTTTTATGCCCTAATCCGGCTATATCCCATTAGTTCCATTACCCCCACAAAACAAACACACTAGTACTACTTATTCGCATCAACAAACACATACCTTTGCAAAACCCTACCCAAACAATGAATTCATCAATGCCCAATACCAATATCTGAAATCACCATTCCCTTTCTGGTTCAGATTCCCTAAAACTAACATTCAAACCTGGGAATGCAATTCAAAAGTTAGATACATATGTGTGTGTAATCTAAAGCCGTATTTCTTGTAGATTTTTTTTCTTTCAATGGCTTCCTCTGTGTCACACCCACCAACGCTATTAACATTCCCTCATAAAAGAACCCATTTCAGAGTCTCACCCAATCAAATTGACCCTTCCATTGTTCAGAAGAAACAACTACCATTCAAGTCAAAGCCATGTCTGACATTTGGAGCTTCTAATGGTAAGTTTCGTCTTCTCACCAATCAACCCATTGTTTCTGCTTTTACAAGAGCTTCCTCAAATGGGTCTCTTGATTTCATCGAAGAAGATGAGATTTTGATGCCCTTTGAGGAACGCCCGGTGAAATTTGCTTTCTGGGTTTTGTTTTGGGCGTCTCTGTCTCTTGTTTGGTTTGCTGCTTCCGGGGAAGCTAGGGCTGCTCAGGCTGCTGCTGATTCCATTAGAGCCTCGAGCTTTGGTCTCAAGATTGCGTCGTCCTTGCGGAGCTCGGGATGGCCCGATGAGGCTGTTGTGTTTACCCTAGCTACACTCCCTGTGATTGAGCTTCGTGGTGCTATTCCTGTTGGTTACTGGTTGCAACTCAAGCCCGCACTCCTAACTGTCTACTCTGTTCTTGGGTTAGTCTCAGTGACTCTCAACTCTCACTCCTGATCTTGTTCCAGTTTGTTAGAGGGTATTTTAGTGACCGAGATTGTGTTTTTTACAATTTTCTTTAACCAATTGATAGAATGTGGATGCTTATAGTGAAATTAATAAGTGAATTTTTATTGAATTCTATATTAGGTACATATTCATAGAACTGAAAGATATTGGTACTCTTATTTTTTGACAAAGCTTTTTAGTGATCAAGATTGTTGTTTTTTACAGTTCTCTTTAATTAATTGATAGAATATGAATACTTAAAGTGAAATTAAAAAACGGGTACTTTTATTTTCTGAAAATTGTTTCCGACTCTCTTTGCATTCTCCAGTTCCACTTTTAGCTTATTAAATAGAATATGATTGCATTTACTAGGATTGGAGAAATGGACACTTTTTATTTACAAACCCTAGAAAAGAGTAAAGAAGAAATGGGCAATTTAAATATTTGGACACATTTTCTTTCTGCAATATGCCCTTTTTCTAACCATTTGATGTTAAATGTGTTGTATTATAGAGTTAAACAAATCATTGCTTCATTTTTCTAACAAGTTTTCTGGGATCACTTTAATTTGTTAGAGGGTTGATTGAAATCTATTGCACGTACACATTTATAGAACTGAAAGATATTGGTACTCATATTCTCTGACAAAGGTTTTTATTGATCAAGATTGCTTTTTAACAATTCTTTTTAACCAATTGATAGTATATGGATGCTTATGGTGAAATTAAGAAATGGGTACTGAAATTTTCTGAAAACTCGTCTCTGCCTCTCTTTGCATTCTCTAGTTCCATTTTTAGCTTCTTGAATAGAATATGACTGCATTTACTTGGATTGAAGAAATTGACACTTCTCATTTTTGAAACCCTAGAAAAAAGTACAGAAGAAATGGGCAATTTAAATATTTGGACGCATATTCTTTGTGCACTATACCTTTTTCAATCCATTTGATGGAATATGTGTGCGTGTAATAGAATCAGACAAATCATTGCTTCAGTTTGCTAACAAATTTTCTATTTTAGGTACATATGCATAGAACTGAAAGAAATTGGTACTCATATTCTTTGGCAAAGTTTTTTAGTGATCAAGATTGTTTTTCCACAATTCTCTTTAATTAGTTGATAGAATATGGATGCTTATAGTGAAATTAGGAAATGGCTACTTGAGTTTTCTGAAAAGTTGTCTGTCTCTCTTTGCATTATCCACTTCCATTTTTAGCTTATTAAAGGGAATATGACTGCATTTACTTGGATTGAAGAAATGGAGACTTTTCATCTTTCAAAAAAAGTACATAAAAAATGGGCAATTTAAATAAATGGACGCATATTCGTTGTGCACTATGCCTTTTTCAATCCATTTAATGGAATGTGTGCACGTGTAATAGAATCGGACAAATCATTGCTTCGTTATGCTAACAAATTTTCTGTGATTACTTTAACTTGTCCATGCATTGTACTTGACAAAATGCGTGTGTTGATAATTGAGGTTGATACTATTTAGATTCTGCATAATTTCATATCTGGGGTTATTGGTGTGATAGGCGTTGTTTAATAATTTGGCAAATGGCTAATTTGATGAGATTGAACATAACGTTGGGGCTGCAACTGTAGGAACATGGTACCTGTGCCCTTCATTATACTCTACTTGAAGAGATTTGCAACTTTCCTCACTGGGAAGAACAAATCTGCGTCTCGTTTCCTTGACATGCTATTCCAGAAAGCCAAAGAGAAGGCTGGCCCCGTGGAAGAATTTCAATGGCTTGGTCTAATGTTGTTTGTGGCTGTGCCTTTCCCTGGAACTGGTGCGTGGACAGGAGCCATCATAGCATCTATTCTAGATATGCCATTCTGGTCTGCTGTCTCGGCAAATTTCTTTGGTGTTGTGCTGGCTGGGCTTCTGGTGAATTTGCTGGTGAACCTTGGGCTCAAGTATGCCATTGTAACTGGTATAATTCTATTCATTATTTCCACATTTATGTGGAGCATCCTTCGAAATGTTAGAAGGTATTTCAGCTCATCAAACTGATATGGTATTTGGAATGACTGCATTAAGACAAACTTTTTAAGGAGGTAAACAAACAGTTGTTAAGCTCATTGTTTATGTTTATTGAACTGTTGTAGGTTGAAGTTTGTCTCGTATAATTCACAAATTTTGTTTCTATTTGTACCATCTGGCTTTTTCTAGAATACCGCACAAGCATTTTGTAAAGAGAATCGATTATTCAACTACCTGAGATGAAGAATCTAAGCATAGTTTTAAAAATACTTGGAACATATTATTGTGGCAGTAAGGGAAACCATGAACACAGAAACTATGTGCTTTAACATTCACAAAACCGTATAGCTTTCTTCTCGTGGGTGTTGTTTTTATGTTGAAGCATCCAATCATATTAGAAGTATAAATCAAAAAGCAAAATTGTCCCAGTTGAATATGCAATAGCATGTAAAGTACATCTGTGTGGAATTTTGGATTTTCATTTCCAGTTCATAATGTGAACTTCTTTGCAGCAAAGTTCTTCAGACTATTAAACTCTTCAGTGTCTGTGGTTTTGGGTTTTGGAGGAATAAATGCCTTCAGCTTTCCTTCTTGATTTGGGAAACAATAGAAAATGCTTTGTTCAAATGGGTGGAATGGTAAAGGAAAACACTGTACTATTCTACCTCTTTCCTTTCTTCTTATATTGCTTTTGTGCTCCATTAATTTTGCTATCCTACAAGTGTGGATTGAGACGGGGGAGACTGGGCAGGAACATGTTCAAATCTATTGTGGCTTCAGGTTAGTTCCTTGCTGCTGCATCAATTTTTTATGAATAGTTCAAATTAGTTCCCTTTTACTAGTTCTTGTTGGAATCTGCAAATCTGCAATGGATTAAGTAGGATTAGATTGTTTTGTGATAGCTATAGCATTCCTTACCACTGACATAGATTTGGTTTCATGACATATGAATGTGTAAATGAAAGGTTTTTGTTGGAGAGAAGATGTAAGCTTGAATTTGATCATCTAATGATTGTGTATCATTAAGAGAGAAATTTTCTGTTTAGACTTTTTCAAATTTTGTTTGCCTCCAGGTGTTATTATGCCATAATAAGTTTTCTCTTTAAGGTAGTGTTGTGGAATTTGGATGTCACAGGAGTTTTTAAATGACATGATTTGAGATATGGAGAAATTAATAGCCTCTCATTTATAATTCCATTGGATCTTTTTAAATAGAGATTTCAATTGTAGGATTTCAACCATCCGCATTAGCCCCCATTTAGTTGTAGAATCTGAGCATCATCACATTCATGATGGTATGTTAAAAAGAAACATAGCAACATCAGAGGAATAATTCTCTCAGATGTGAGAGGAGTAAATTATTTTATTATTATTATTATTATTTTTTTGCACGAGGTGTTGGGCCTCTTGAAGCACCACATAATCAATTACCAGACACTGATAGTCTCCTGTTCCGATGTGAGGTTTATTTTTATTTTTTCTTAGCAAGAAACCCACTAACAACTCTCTTGCCATCAGACTTTTTCGAAGTGTTCTTAGAAGGGTTTACTTAGAAGATCATTGCTGAGAATTTTTAAATGTATGAAGGCAGATTTTGTTTAATTAATGCATTTGGTATAAAGGGATGATCGCCAGACAATTCTTGCATGACTTCTTTATATATGAATATCATACTCTTCTTGTGGCAGTGACAGAAATGGTGAATGCAATTTTTTAACTTTTTAATGCAGTTAGTATGAATATAGATTTTGTACAATTTTTAAACATTTTAATGCAATTAGTATGAGGAGTACAATTAATGCATTAAGTATGAATGATGATCACCACACAATTCTTGCATCACTTCATATATACGAAGTAGCATACTCTTGGTTCGGCAACAAGAAATGGTGAATGTAATTTTTTAACATTTTTATGTAATGCAACAAGAAATGGTGAATGTAATTTTTTAACATTTTTATGTAATTAATATGAAGATAGATTTTGGACAATTATTACATTTAGTACGAAGGATGATCTCCACATAATTATTGGATGACCGCTGGATATATGAAGTAACAAATACTTGTGCCAATACTTGTGGCAGTGGGAGAAATGATGAATAAAATTAATTTAACACAAAAATATTGGGGGATTGTGATATTGGGGGAAACTAATAAAAGAAAAGTGAATGATCTATAACATGTGTAACATGTGTGGCAACCATACCAAGTATACGTCGTGAATGGAAGATGACATTTATGAAAATGGAAGTGTTGTAACATTTAAGATATAGTTACATGAGAGGGGATGGGAGTGGAAGACTGACAAAATTGATGATAAGTTATCACAAAAATGATCCTTCAGTTATATTATTACTTTATTTATTTTTTATATCAGGACAATTACTGGGGATTTGCTGGTTGGAGTTGTTCAAAGAATGTAACAGATGTTATGCGTTTCTTCTTATTCTTCTAATATGAAAAAATATTCAATTATGAATTAGAAGTCCATATTACTCGAAATATTTAATCATACTATCTATGCTTAAAATTTCAATGGTAAAAATTGATATGTTACAATTGAATGTTAATGAAGTGACGCCTAATTTATAAAATTTATGAATTCTAATAAACTTAAACTTTCAACAGTTGACGAAATTGTGTAGTGTGATATGATCAACTGGATCAATAATCAATTGATTGGGTTGATTATGAAGGTTTAGGAGGAGATTGAAGGTCTTTCACTAAATTTGGACACTCAAAGTAACTTATTGAAATTGTGTTTCATGTAATCATGTAAGAAAGAGGTTTTTCAGATTGAATATATAGGTTATCTTTCTGTTTAATTATTGTTTAATGTTTGAAGGAAAAGTTGCATGTAACATTTGATATTATCTAGGAAAAAGTGATTATTCTAAGATTCAAAATGTTCTTAATCTACCATTATCACACTTAATTAGTATGATTAATTATTACTACATGCGCTCAAGTTTTAAACATTTTAATGCAATTAGAATGAAGAGTACAATTAATGCATCACCACACAATTCTTGCATGAGCACGAGTCGCATGACTTCTTCATATAGGAAATAGCACACTCTTGTTGTGGCAGCACATGAATGGTGAATGTAATTTTTTAATATTTTAATACAATTAATATGAAGATAGATTTTGGACAATTAATACATTTGATATGAAGGGATGATCTCCACACAATTACTAATAAAAAAGCTGGAGAATGATACACATGTGTGACATATCTGGCAGTCATGTCGAGTATAGTGAGAACTATAGATAAAAGAGTGACAACATTGTTCATCTTTTCTATTAATATAATTACTAAAGAAAGATAGTCATATTAATTAATTAATTTATTTTTTATATCAAGACCATTACTGAGTGGATTTGTTCGTTGAACTTGTTCAAAAAAATTTAATAGATGTTATGCAATTCAATTATAAATTTTTTTTCACTAAACATATGAAAATCACACTAACAAATCCATTTAGTATCATCCTATCATCATGAATAGTATGATTAGAAGTCCATATTACTCAAAATATTTAATCACATGATCTATACTTAAAATTTCAATAATAAAGATTGATTTATTACAATTGAATGTTAATGAAGTGATGCATAATTTATGAATTCTAATGAAACTTAGACTTCAAACTATCTATAGTGAAGTATGATATTCGTTGAGCAAATTGTGTAGTATGATATGATTAACTGGATCGTAATTAATTGACTTAGGTTGATCATCAATGTTTAGGAGGAGTCTGAGGGTCTTCACTGAACTTGGACACTCAAAGCCACTTATTGAACAAATATGTGTTTCATGTAACAATGTAAGAAAGAAGTCTTTCAGATTGAATATATAGGCAAATGGTCAAGTTATCTTTTTGATTAATTATTGCATAGTGTTTAAAGGATTATTCTAATATTCAAAAGGTTTCTATTCACGAGTTTTTACCATTATCACACTTAATTTTTCCAAGTTTCCGTGGAAAAATTCACACCCCCTTTCCTGTCCAAGAAAACAATATATATATATATATATATATATATATATGCTTATTTTTATAAATAGCTAATCATGGGTTAAGCATGTTATCAAACAGGCTGTAAGCGTAACATACAGACACAGGCGTTTCAGAAACGCTCGAAAATATGACAAGTTTACTTCATCCATCACCTTTTTTCATTTCTACCAAAAACGCATAGATGCCCAGAAGACACCATCATCCTTTTCATCACTGTCCATCATCTCTGATTTGATTCTAATCATGAACTCCTTCCACGAAACACCCCAGCTGTCTTTAAATCATGCACCAACCTCAAAGAGATCAACCAAGTCCACGCCAACTGCTCATCAACGGCCTTCTTAACGACCCTCTCATCCATGGCCAATTCGTTGCCTCCATTACCCTCAATCACCCCAAAATCTTGAATATTCCAACCAAGTCCTGGACCAATGTCACACCCCAACTGTCTTTCCCCTGAAATGTTTGATCAGAGCTCACTCCAGAAGCTCAAACCCTCAAAGAAGCTTTCACTTCTATAGTTCTATAACAAAATTCTATGGTCTTACAAAAATCTGTCACGTGATAATTACACATTCACTTTCTTGGCACGCACCTGTGCACTGTCTGTGCACAGCTTTTGGCTCGCCAAACCGAGCCGGCAGTCCATGCAGGAGCTATAAGACATGGGTTTCAAACTGACCCTTATGTTAGAAGTGGATTGATTTGCATGTATGCTGAATTGGGTCACTTGGATTGTGCGCACAAAGTATTTGTGGAAATTCCTGAGCCGGATTTGGTGGCTCAGACAGCAATGGTGAGTGCTTGTGCCAAACTGGGACGTGTTGGTTTTGCGAGGGAACTGTTTGATAATATGCCTCAGAGGGACCTTATTGCATGGAGTGCGATGATAGCCAGGTATGCGCAGTGTCAGTTTGGGCGGTATGTGGGGGCGTTGAATTTGTTTCATTTGATGCAAATAGAGGGAGAGTAGGTTAACGAGGCTACCATGGTTTCAGTTTTGTCTGCGTGCACTCACTTAGGGGCATTGTATCAAGGAAGATGGGCTAATGCATTTATAAATAGAAACAAATTGCGAATGACCATGACACTTGGGACTGCACTCGTTGGCATGTACGCAAAATGTGGGAACATGAATAAGGGCAAT